TCGACTCTGGCAATTGGTTGGTACTATTATGGTTGTTGTGTTCCCACATCAGTGCCTTTACCCACACTTCACACTGTTCCTTTTGCCAAGGATTCCTCCCCTCCCCCATCTTGCAATACTGAATTCTCCCTATCATTTGAAGGTCCATTTCTGATACTCCCCTGCTCATAAAAGTTTCCCCGATATCTAGGCTAAAAGTATTTTCAGCAGAATTCCATACTATTTTGTTTGTGATTCTCAGAGTTTTCAGTTGGTAGTTTACTTACTTATTAAACATGTAGTTTATCTCCTCTATTAAACCATGAGGAGTGAGGTTCTATCCATTTATCTTTGTCTCCTAAACCCCTCTGTACCTCTCCAGCTTCCCCTACCACTCTCTAAGGACCCGTGTGCCTCCTTAGTAGCACTGGTCACCGTTGTAATTGCTTGTTAAATGTCCTGTTCATCACTAGTCACTAGGCCCTGTTCCCCAGTATCTAGCTTGATAAGGTCTTAATGCTCATTTCTTACATGAATGAAGAATGAAAGCAAGACAGCCAACTGTTTGGATATCCATAGATTTTTACCCTATTCTTCTTTAATATTTTGCTATAGGTACCATAGGGAGCTCTGGTAGCATAGTGGCTAACCAGACGGCTGCTAACCAGACGGCTGGCGGGTCAAACCCACCAGCCACTCCTCGGAAGGAAGGTTTGGGCTATCCTACTTCCGTAGTGATACTGCCTCGGAAACCCAAGGAGCGGTCGCTATGAGTCGGGTTTGACTCGACGGCACATAACAACAACAACATAGGTACCATAGGTTAATTTACCTTTTCTTACTCTGATATTTGTCATCAGTCCCTAAGGTCTTATTTGAATAAACGTCGAGTTGGCCCCGACTCATAGCGACCCCTCCTTGGGTTTCTGAGGCAGTATCACTACGGAAGTAGGATTGCCCAACCTACTTAAAATAGATGTATAAACCAAATCATGATTGATGTTCTTTTTCTCTGCTGTATAGAATCTTGTTTTTCTCATTCACTTATGTATACACTCATATAATCACACACCAAACCAAAAAAAATCCATTGCCATCAACTCCATTCCAATTCATGGCAACCTCACATGTCACCCCCTCATGAAAAATCTACTAGAATTCTTCCTAGAATGAATTTTAATGCAAAGCACCTGTGAGCACTTAACTGTCCCGCTTCCCCACCGGTAACTCTTTTATTCTGATGTCTTTGGCTCACCCTGTCACCCTTTGCAGCTCTGCCTCTTCCTTGTGAACTTGTTTTTGCTGCCACCGCCTTTCTTGTACCTGCTTTGTCCAAAATGGCAGTTTGGGCTCCTTAGCCAGGCAGTGTTTGTTCAGCACTGAATTAACATAGTGCCTAAGGTGCTTGATTGTTAACCAGAAAGCTACCGGTTCAACCCTTGGAAGGAAGGTTGGGCAATCTACTTCTGTAGTGATGTTGTTGTTGTTGTTGTTTGCCGTGGAGTCGGCCCCGACTCATAGCGACCCCTCCTTGGGTTTCTGAGGCAGTATCACTACGGAAGTAGGATTGCCCAACCTTCCTTTGAACCGCCAGCCTTCTGGTGAGCAGTCAAGTGCCTTAGGCACTATGCTACCAGAGCTCCCTCTGTAGTGATAGTGCCTTGGAAACCCAAGGAGGGATCGCTATGAGTTGGGTCTGACTCTACGGCACATAATAACAACAGTGACACCAATGTTGGCTTTGGGCGATGATGTAGGTGAATGGCAGTGTCTCAAGGTTCAGTAACTGGGACACTTGCTCTTCTTCACAATCTTAGACCAGTTACCATTTCCTTGAAACCTAATTAATTGTTTCTTCCTATGAAGAACCATTGTTATCTGTATAGTATAAACTGTGATGCCATGTGGTGTATCTTAGACTTTTTGTTTAATTATTGGTGTAATTATATTTATTCTTCTTCTGAGAGAGCAGGCATCGCATTTTGTTTACTTTTGTGGCGAGATTCTTGATATCTGCACAACAGGTGATCAATAAATATATGATGAAACAATTCATATGTGAGCATGTTATATTATATTTGGTTTAAAGCTGTTACTAGAAGACTCTCTGGGTTCTGTCTTTCATGTAATAGGTGCTCAGAAAAATATTTAAGTATACTGATTTATCAAACATCTACACTGGGTTAAGTCTTGTACTAAGTGCTGTTAGTGATATAAAGTGAAGCACAAAGATGCTGCCCTTTAGAATGTATGGAGTAAGATTGATAAGACTAATACAGGGTAAACCAAAAAGACCAAACCTACTGCCTTTGAGTCGATTTCGACTCATAGCGACCCCTATTGGGTTTCTGAGGCAGTAAATCTTTACAGAAGTAGATTGTTCTGTCTTGCTTCTGCGGAGTGGCTGGTGGGTAGAACCTGTCAAATACCTTAAGAGGGAAAATAAAAAAGAAAGGGAAAAAAAAATATTGGCATAGTTTGGTGAAGGAGGGCTCACCTCCTGCTAGGGAAATCGGGGATGCTGAATGGAGGAGGTAGCATCAGAGTAAATCCTGACAGATGGGAAGGCTTTGAACAGTGGGGATATAGGGAAGACATTTCAATTGAAAGCAATGAGTAAAAGCATAGAGTCAAGGAACAACAAGAAGTTTAATTTGACCAAATACAAAAATGAAAAGTGGGGAATAAGATTAAATTGTGAAGGGCTTCAAATACAGGAATAAGAAGTTTATTGTTTATTATGAATAAGCATTCTGTTGAAGGTTTTTGAGTAGGTGGGTCCACAATCCCAGGTAAAACTGGCAGAATGGTGAAAGAGGAATTGGAGTAGCTCAAACTAGGAAATAGCAAGGAACCAGGGGAAGCAGTTGCCTTTGTCCGGAAAAGGGTCAGTGAGGGCCTAAGTGAGGAACAGGACCATGGGAGAGGATGTTTATAGAAGACTCAGGAAAGGTAGAATCCTTGACAGCCAGTTGAATAGGATAAAGCATGGCTGCTTGGTATCTAAGCAAAGAGAGGAGTCAAAAATAACTCTTAAGTATTGAGCTTTGGCAACTCTGAGGATAGTCAGGTGTGTTTTCACGGGAATAAGGCACTGGAGGGAGTATAAGAAGGGAGGTGTGGGGATAGCTGGTTTGGCCACACTTAGTTGCCAGTAGAAGTATTCAGCAGGTAGATGGAAATGTAGGTCTAGATGTGAGGGACTATGGCAGAAATCTGTATTTCTTCTCCTCTTATTTGTTCCATCATATTTTAAAAAGGAAGCCCCGGTGTGTTTGCTGTCATAGATTATTCATCAGCATGATCTTATTTGTCAGTGTTCCTTCTAGTCATCCATAAGACCTCACCTTAAACTGGGCTTATTAGTGTTTAAAATTTTAACTCTTACTGGCTATTCTTAGTATTGCATTTGTACCTTGGAGGAATGCCAAGTACACGATAAATGTTGAGTTGTTTAAGCCTAGGACAAGAGTTACCCCAAAAAAGTCATTTCTGAAATGGCACTCACTAGTCAATCATTTATTTGGCAGAATTGGTTGTTGGTACAGGCTTAGTATATACCTTATCAATATTTTTCAAGTAAATTTCTTTCTCTATTTTGAAACTTAATATCCTAAAAAAGTGTTTGGAAACCATATCCTATCTCATATTGCCTTAAAAATTGTACCTATGTTTTATCTTCCTATTCAACATAATACAAAAAAAAAAAAAAAAAAGAAGTTTTTCTTTTGCTCAGTTGTAAGAATGAATACATACCGTTCCAAAGTCCTTATTCTTGTTCTGTCTCCATTTATAGGCCTGTAATCTGGTAGCATAGTGGCTAAGACACTTGCCTGCCAGCCAGACGGCTGGCAGTTCAAACTCACCAGCCACTCCTCGGAAGGAAGGTTGGGCAATCCTACTTCCATAGTGATACTGCCTCGGAAACCCAAGGAGGAGTCGCTATGAGTCGGGTTTGACTCAACGGCACATAACAACAACAACAACAACCTAGGCACATATAACCCAAAGTGGCATATATGCAGCAGGGCCCCCTGCAGTGTTAATTGACACTCATGTTAATTTAAGGGAGTGGTCTGAGCTGGGGGAAAATGAGAAAGTAGGCCTTAAGCTTATTGTCTAGTTGGGGAGGGACTCTTGCAGGGCCCAGAACACTAAATCCATACTTGAAGTTTTTTCTTAAGTGAGGCTTGTATCCTTTAGCTTGCTCACATTTGAATCCTTGCTTGCTCTGAGTATTGATATTTTTTTGTCAGTAGAGTTTGATTACCATGGACAAACATACCTTTTGCTTCTACTCTATTTAATCCGTAGTGACAAGTTGTTAAGTCACCAGTCTCTTGTCTTCTTTCTTAAGGGAGAAGAACAAGGGGTACCAGGACTTGTGCCCCTCCTTCTCTCATTTATCTCCTTTCCCCAGCAACACACACACACACACACACACACAATTTCTTTTCTCATTCTCACTCAACATTTACTTATCTGCAGTCACAGGAAACAGAAGTCCCCTTAGATCTGTTTTTCCTTTTGTTTTCCCACTTTTAGGAGCTGTGCTAGGGAGAATAGCTTGAGCTTGAGGAGGGTGTCTGTTGAGGTTTGGGGTCGCAGAGAAATTGACCAAAAGCACAGCTCCAGCACTTTGATCCTTGATTGGAGCAGTGATTAAGAGTAGAAAGTGAATGTTTTCTTTTATACCAGTCTCTTTAAAGTGATTGTTTCATTAAAATTGTTTGAAATATTTTTTCTTCATTGTCATGATCATCTTTTCACAAACTTCATGGCTTGATAATAGAAGGTTATTATTATTGTGGAAAATAAACAGATTTAGACTTTTCATTAGTCATATATTCATTTGTAAGATAGAATCATTATAAAGATGTAAGAATGAATAAGGCTATCATTCTTGTACTGATCAGTTAAGCGAAAGTTAATTATTATCAAATGTTGTAACAACCTCGTTATTCTTTCTTTACAATAAAAAGGAAATCAAGTAAGTATCCTTTTTTGTGTTTGTTTTGTAGATTCAGAATATGAACAACATAATCTCCTTCCCTTTGGACAGTTTGCTGAAGGGAGACCTAAAAGGAGTAAAAGGGGTATGATATTTAAAGATCATTATCATTGGGTGACAGTTTTTTATATACTGTAGAATCACAGTAATATTCGCCTATATGGCAGGCAGCCTATATTATTTTAATTGGGATGGCAGGATGGCCTTTTGCTATTCTTGGTCTGGTTTTCTAACTGGTGAGTCACTGGTTTACCAGTGGAAAAAAGATTCCTTGCAGGGATATATTTCCCTGATGGGGAAAATCTACATTAGGAACGCAATGACCAACTTCATGTTTCTGTCCTCCAAAGATGTTTGTTGTTTAAGTGTCTTGCTGCTTTATAAACACTTAAGTTGTGAATTGTTTCACAAGTATGTGAGAAAAGGGGATAGAGAGTACAATATGCTGAGCAGTAAGTTGCTTCTGCATATCATTGGCACAAACAGATGTAAGCTATGAAAGGAAGATGATTGTGCCTTGAGTTCTTAGGAGACATGAGTTCTTCTCTTGGATCTGCACATGATTACCGTCTAGGTCAGGATCATATATTATGTAGTGTGGCCAATTTTGGGGATTGCTGCAGAGGCCTCAGTAGCTCATTTATAGTGTGTACTAGGAAAAAAGATATGCCCAGAGAGCTGCTAAGACCTTGAGGAACAGTGGGGCTCCAGAGGACATGTCAGCTAAGTTAGCCAGAAAAAAAAAAAAAAAATGTGAGGAAAGGGCATTCTCGGTAGAGAGGAAAACATATGCAAATAAATGGAAGCATGAATCAACACTGATGTATCAGACTTTTAGTGTAGCTCAAAGCAGTGAGTCAGGAGAGGTACCGGTTGTGGGAGATAAGGCTTAGGAGGTTGGGGTGGGGCTAGTTTATGAAAAACCTTATGTGCCAGAATCTGAAGGTTAGACTTGCCATAAAGTCAATAAAGAGTTGTAGATAAATAAATAATGAAAGAAAAGAAAAAAAAAAAAAAACCCACATTTTCTGTCCCCCAGTATAATCCTGTTGAAAGGAGCATGAAGAGGTAGGGACCAGTTGATAGAATTTCTAGTGGCTTAGTAATTTTTTGAGCCAGACTTTATCAGAGAGTATGAGGTCTTAAGGACCAGATAAACAATGGAGTAGGGAAACCCCAGGAGGATGTAGATGACTTTTATGTTCTTATTTTTGGGGACCTATATCAGAATTATATTTGTTGGAGAGATTCATATGTTAATAGAAAAAGTCAGAGTCCCTTTCTTTTAGAAAGATATGCTGAAATATTTGCAGATTAATCTTTCTGGGTTTAGTTTCAGAATAATCCTAGTGCAGGGGATAGGTAAAGCAAGATGGGCCATGATTAATAGTTGTTATAACTGGCTGATGGGCACATTATATGATTCTCTACTTTTCCATGTACTTGGTATGTAAGCTTCCTAATAAAAACTTAAAAAGAGGGGAGGAAAAAAAATATGCTACCAGTATATCTTATTAAAATCTTGTGCTACATTATTTATTCTTTATGAGATCACATACATCATTTATTGCAACTATTAATGTTCCTCTCAGGACTAATCTAGGGATAAGTACATTTATCATTCATAGAAGTTAATGATTAGTTATGTTTAATTTATGCCTGTCTGTTTACAGGATCTGAAAAAACCTTTTGATAAAGCTTGGAAGGACTATGAAACAAAAATGTAAGTGCTTTTGTTAAAGAACAAAAATAAGTGTAGGTAATTGAAGATTTTAATTTCAAATCCAGCTTTTATTATTTAAAAGTATTATGTAAATAAACCTTAATCCAGGAAAGAATTCACCTAAAATCATATTGCTGTGGTTTGTTGTAATGTCAAATGCTTCCCAGGTTGTTTGTCTAAATTCCATTATATTAACTTCTTTAAACAAGTTTCCCTTGTCCCTTTTTCTCACAAGGTGTTTCTTTCCTTTCTGCTTTTTTAAAACACTTCTTCCATTTCATCACTGTTTATGAAAACAGCAGTATAGTTTTTGGACTGTATCTTCTTGGTGATTTGTGAAAACCATCTGCTTTTAGCTTTGTGTCTCTATTTCCCTGCAACATCAGTCCCTTTGGGTTTAGAGAAAGAAAAGAGAAATTGTTGGAACATCAGTCTCCTTCAGCTTTGTTTGATTGCTTCATCTGCCAAAAAAGAACATAAAGAATGAGTTAGTTGATTCTTAGATAAAAAACAAAAATCAAGCTCGCTGCTGTCAAGTCGGATCCGACTCATAGCGACCCCCCCTTGAGTTTCTGAGGCAGTATCACTACAGAAGTAGATTGCCCATCTTCCTTCCGAGGAGTGGCTGGTGGGTTTGAACCGCCAGCCTTCTGGTTAGCAGTCAAAAATGCCTTAAGCACTACACCACAAGGGCTCCCTGATTCTTAGATATGTACCACAGTTTCCACTGAAGACAGGACCGCTAGTGGTTGACTTCAGACAGTTGTTTTAGCATTTCCACTCATAATTTCTCATTCCTAGAACAGAGAGAATTGAGCTAGCTAGAAATGAGCTGGTGCTTGTGGGGAATAGTGGTTTCAGTTATTTAAAATACTTGAGAAATAGAAAATATTTTTAAATGCCTTGTGTTTATTTTGTGGTTGCTATACATAGGCTAATAATGTAGAATTGTCTGAAAATAGAAAGTTTATTATGAAGCCATCTGGTAAAGGGAGAGGTGTTAAGGAACATTATTTCAGTTGTAACTACAAGTATTTACTTGAGGTTTTTTTTTTTTTAAATAAAAAGGTCTTGTTTATCATTTCAATGGTGTAGGGTCATAAAGCTCAAATCAAGTAATACCAAACCTTTGATACTCCTTCCATCCACGGAAATCTTAAATTTTTGCACGTGAAGTTGCTTGGATCCCTGAGTTCTGGATTTTCCTTAATGGTATATATTCATATATAAGCACAGATAGTGTTAAACTAGAATACCTTGAAGGTCTGTCAGCCCAGAAAGGCTCCAAACCTACCATCTCTAGACCTTTCCCATCCTTTATCTATGTAACAATTGAATGAAGTATATAGAATAAGGATTACCATTCCTACTTTACATATGGGAAACCAAGACTGGGTAGTTTGCTGCAGGTCAAACTGTAAGAGGATAATTGAGCTAGGGCTAGGAAATGGATTTCCTGACTTCCATTCATTTGTTCTCACTACCACCCTCAAGCACCTTAAATGAAATGATTCTGTGCATTACGGGGTCAAAGGCATAAAGGGGTTTCTGAAGGAGAGACTCCTGGTTCTGTAAAGAAAGGTTTGATGAGGGAATGAGATCAAATTCTGTAAAATTAAGATACACGCAGATAGAGCAGGGAAAGAATTATTCACAAAATGAGGGGAAGATACTTTTTAAAACTTGGAGTAATTCTAGGATAAATAAAGGAAGTAATTTTTTGCCCATTATGTGTGAGATTCATTTATCCCAAGAGGCATTATGTTCTTTAACAAATGTTAAAGATGTGTTTACAATTCCTAGGCAGTAATTCCCTGCTTGATTATTAAGAGAAATTACCTATGTCTGGACTGTGTCTTAGTCTGTTTGAGGTGGTGCTAGGGGCAACCTTGGAGTTACATAATTACAGTCCCAAAGATTTCATAGGCCCTCTAGTCAATTTCCTCCCCAATGCATGAATTCATTTACCAGCATGCCCACCAAATGGGTATTTTTTTTTGTTGTTGTTTATTTTCTTGTTTGTTTATATTCTTATTTACTTACTTCATCATTGTTGAGTACCTCCTGTGCACACAGTACTGTGCTCCAAATTAAAGAAAGAAAGATTAGAAACTGTAATTCTTGCCTCATCTTTAACATCCCACTTCCATGATAGGGAACTCTCTAGGACCCCAAAATGCCCATTTCATTGCTGAACAACTTTTTAAGAAAATACTGCCTTATGTCTTCTAGTGTCTACCTTGAGGTGCTACAGAAAACGTCTACTCCCCTTTCTTCATGGCAGTCTTTATATTTTTGAGCACTTTCTATTGCTTTTGTTAAGTCCTTTTTCTCCAAAATAAAAATTCACAGTTATTATAAACCATTTTTACCTGATAAGATTTTGTGGTTCCTTTTCACTATGGTGACTCTTCTTTGGACATTCTCTAGTTGGTCAGTTTATACTTTGAGTTGTACACTTGACATTATTGTAGTATGAAATGGAGAACACAGTTTAAAAAAGGAAAAGGTGGTTTGTTCTCCTAAAGTGATAAGCACTGTCCTAGATCAAAGTAGGAGAACTGGCAAGCCTTTCCTAAGTGAAGAGAGAGAGGAAGTGAAGAAAGAGGAATAGGGAAAAAGCATGAGAAGAGAAATAGTAGATGGGGAATAGTTATTGGAAAAGGATTCCCTAAGGACTATTCACAGGATAGACAGACTCATAGAATATTATTACTGAAAAATCTTTAAGGAAGGCTACCTCCTCTGACCCTGGGAACTCTGCTGGCCCAGAGTCTGGCATAAAGTACAAATGCTTAGGAAGTATTTGTTGAATATGTAGCAGAAAGACCAATTTTAATATTTTTATGGCTAAATGCATTTTCCTTTCACATAGTCTAAGAAGCTGTCCTGCCTGAAAATGTATGGTGAGCATTTGTCTTAGCAGGGTGGTCAGTAGGATATCTTCTAAGCTGTCCAATCTAAAATACTCTGCCAAGACACATCCTGATTTATCCTTGCTCTCTTCATGCTTAGAACCAAAATAGAAAAGGAGAAAAAGGAACATGCCAAGCTCCACGGGATGATTCGTACTGAAATAAGTGGGGCTGAAATTGCTGAAGAGATGGAAAAGGAGAGGCGGTTCTTCCAGCTACAGATGTGTGAGGTAAGATGCTAGGAAATAACAGGGTCTCCAGGCCAAGGCTGCAAGGCAGTCAACTGTCACCTGGGTGTGAACTCATGCAAGGGTTGATGGGGGTCGGGGGGGCAGAAGGTACATAAGTATCTGTAAGCATTTATCTCCTGACCTTCACTAGTCCCTCCAAAGAAAACACAAATTTATTATTGGACTCCATTTGTCTCCCTTGCTGACATTTTATTTTAACAGGGGAATCCTAGTCTTCTGGAGACTGGGGTTAGGTTAATCTAATCCTAATTTTCTATTAAAGATAGATAAACAAAATAAACATAAAAAGTGCCCTTTCTGCATAAAAAGTGCCCTTTCTGACATCACATGCAAACACATTCAATCCCATCTCCTCTCACTGGATTTAATTAAAAATGCTCACTCCTTAGGTGTTTTTTAAATGAGGCATTTGGGTTTTCATTGTACCAATAGAGTCTGTGACCCAGGTACAGGGAGTGAGAAGCCAGCTGGAAAAAATCCAGCCTGAAAGATGACAGCCCATGTTTTTCTCTTTGTTAAAGTATGTGAGGTCATATTATGGGGAGCACTCCCTGTCTTTTTGAAATGTTCCCACCCAGCTTTTACTTGCTTAGTTGCAAGGATGCCATCAAGGTCAAGAGGTCCAAGAAGCCTGGGGCACTCCTCTCTGCTCTGCTACCTCTGTGCACCTGAGCCCTTGCTGTGGGGAGGGGGAAATGACAGGACAGGCCCTCTCAGAAAATATTTCTGCTTGGAGGTACAGGGATGAAAAAATATCAGAGACCATCCAGATCACAAAGGCCACTGCTCCCAGCTTTTTACATGCCTTACTTGTGGGTCCATTTGTAAAATGGGCTGTAGAAACAGCTCACGCCTCTGCCTGATGGCTCACTTAATGCTTGTAAATCACATTCCCTTGATGGAAAGTGTGTTCTCTCTTGGAGCAATGCATACCTCCTTTTTTAAATTTACAGAATGTAGATATTTACAAAATACCTGTGACAGGTATTGAACTGGATTCACCAGCTCTTGATTTCCACTAAGCAATCAACAGCAAAGCTAATCCCAGAGGCAGTTAACTCTCTTTGATGTTGGAATCTCTGTTTGTTAACTGTAGCAAGAGTTTAGCTTGCTTTTATTTAAACAAGTTTTTAAATGTAAAACTCTTACGTGGTTGGAAGAGGAGAATTAGTCCCAGAGATCAGGGATGGCAATAGAAAGTTATAAAACCTGTTTGTCTGATATTAATATAGCTTCTCCAGCTTCTTGTGGTTTCTGTTTGCATGATAAATCTTTTCTTCATTCTTTTATTTTATTTGTATCTTTGAATCTAAAGTGTGTCTTCTGTGGACAGCATAGAATTGGAACATGTTTTTTTTAATCCAGTATGATTGTCTGCCTTTGATTAGATTGTTGAATCTATTCACATTTAATGTTATTATTGATCTAATAAGGAGCTCTGGTGGTGTTTACATCTCCTGTTTTATTTTTTGTTTTTATATGCTTCATTTTTTTTTTTTTTGTTCCTCTATTCTGTCTGTTCATTGCATTGAGTGGGTATTTAGAAAGTTAACTAAACTCAGAAGTGGTATTGTAGATAATTTGGAGAGTGGATGTTTTTATACACACATTGTTTTGTAGACAGACATCATATATAATAATAATAATACCTTCCTGGCCTATTTCCCTTACTGTGAAAAAAAATCAAATGAAACAATACAAGGTACAAATTAGTAAACTAGTGCCTTATTTAAAAGTAGGCATTGTTTTCATTTAATCAAGATTCAAATTAAATAAACTGGTTTGCAAATAATGAGAATGGTATGTGCATGTGTGTTTAGATTGCACTTTTCTTTTTGGCTTAAAAAAAAAAAAACTTACCACCATTGAGTTGATGCCGACTCAGTCAGCCTCATTGGGTTTCTGAGACTGTAAATCTTTACAGAAGTAGATTGCCCCATCTTCCTTCCACAAGGTGGTTGGTAGGTTTGAACTGCTGACCTTCTGGTTAGCAGCCAAATTCCTTATCCACTGCACCACTGGAGCTCCTTCTCTTTTTGGCTGGTGGTGGGTGGTTGTCACTCCCATTGAGTTGGGACCCCTTCTTGGGTTTCCGAGGTGGTATCACTACGGAAGTAGATTGCCCAACCTTCCTTCTGAGGAGTAGGTGGTGGATTTGAAATGCCAGTCTTCTGATTAGCAGTCAAATGCCTTAGGCACTATACCACCAGGGCTCCTTCTTTTTTGGCTAGTAAGAAAGAAATCTGTTTACTTAAATTTTGCAAGACTGCTTGTTTAAAATGCTTACAGAATTTTCAAATGCAATCAGTATGCTGTTAGCAGAATCTTTAAGTGAGGAGTGAGGAGTGAGGAGCACTGAGTTCCACATACTCAGTTGTGTCCTTGCTTTCCATGGTAGGCACCTTGCACTGGTTACTTTTCCTCTTCTGTGTCTAGGTGAATAGATTGTGTAGACTGGTAAAATAGTTCATTTTATTGGAAATTTACTATAGATGGTGCCTGCAAGTAATAATATACTTGAGCCAGTCCACAGGTGATGGTTGGGCCACAGTCTGTGTCCACATCAACAGGATGCTAGCCTCTGCATAAGTAACACATTAGTGGGGATTCAGACCACACAGATAATTACAGTGCAATAAGAGAAGCATACGTGGACTTAACCAATAGTTACCTGGAGTTTGATGGGTTTCCAGAAGAGGAGACATTGATGTTGGATTGTTTTGAAGGGCATAGAAATTGGTCGAATAGACATGAGCTGTAAAGGGCTTTCCACAAGGAGAAAAGCAGCTAGCTGACATTACCACATCTGAAAGAGAATTATGTTGGCCCAGTTAAATTCACTTTAAAATTGTGTAACCTGTTCCTTAAACTGAAGTTCTCAAGCTTTGTAAATACTTGGTGGTGTTTATGTGTTTAAAATTTAGTTGCACAAAATCTGATCTAGCAGAGTGGTCTCCAGGCTTTTATTTTAAAGCTGTGGAAACTTTTCTTCAAAATAAATTTAAGAAGAAATTGGTATGTTAAATAGATAGTGTTCTGCAAGTGAGGAAGATGTGAGAAATTCTATCTTGCTTTTTTAATAAATATAAAAAGGATTATGATTATACTTTTTGTTTAAGAAAATTGGTCAATGCCAAAAACTATAAAAACTAAAGTAAAAATTACTCCAAATTTTACATATAAAAAGATACCCACTTTGACATGCAGTTGAGCATCTTTGATACATCCTAATGTATACATCCATAAAAATAATTTGTATAAAAAGAATAATTCTCTACTAATGTTTCCTAACTTTATTAGTTACTCTTTACTATGACATGAACATCTTTCCATGTCAAAAAGTCTCTGCTTTATTGGCTACATAATATTTGCAGGGTTTTTTTTTTTTTAAATTGGTGTGGGATACTCCAAACTTTAATTCCCCATTCATTGCATTTGCGTTATTGTCATTTTCCACTTTTACAAACAGGACTGCAATGAACTTTCTTTTCTGTTCATCTTTGTAAACTTTTGTAATTATCTCCTTAGAATAAGTTCTTGTAAGTAAGAACTTCTGGGTCAAAGGATACAAAACCAAAAACCAAACCTATTGCCATCAAGTTGATGCTGACTCTTAGTGACTCTATAGGACAGAGTAGAACTACCCCATAGGATTTCCAGGCTGGCGGTTCAAACCCACCAGCCACTCCTGGGAAGGGAAGGTTAGGCAATCTACTTCCGTAGTGATACCACCTCGGAAACCCAAGGAGGGGTGCTATGAGTAGGGTCCGACTCGACAGCACATAACAACAACAACAATCTTTATGGAAGCAGACTGCCTTATCTTTCTTACATGGAACAGCTGGTAGGTTTGAACCACTGACTTTTCAGTTAGCAGCAAAGCACTTAACCACTGCTCTGCCAGGGTTCTTAAATTTAAAATGTACATTTTAAATTTTGATACATTACCAAACATCTTATTAACCAGCAGTAAAGAAAAAAAAAAAATCACAAAGGAGGAGGTTACAGGCAAAAAGAAACTTTATAGAACAGTTTCAGAGCAGTTTCCCATCTTGTCCTATTGTTCAACAAACCTGGGAGCTCAGTTTTACAGATGAGAAGCATGTGGGGCTCACCATGGTTCAGTGGTTAGTTCACTTGGTCTTAGAGTTGTACTCTGGGTTCTTTATATCACTTCCTGTTGCTCTGTCATTCGAAGGGATAGGGAATTTTTGGAGTCTCTGTTCCTGTAAATCTTTAAGAAGGAACAAACATATTTTCAGATGTTGGTACTGTAGATCCCCAAGGCCTCCTGGTGTCTTAGTTAATGAATTCACCAAGTAAAAATGGTTTTAATTCAACTCAAAATTCAGTTTTATCACTGTCACTTTTTTTTTTTTTTTAACTTGTAGGGGGATTAAGAATTTTTCTGTCTTAGAATTAGAGACATGGTGACAGGGTCTCAGCCACAAAGATTAGCAGTTAATTTTCTAGACAATAACCTGCCTAAAGAAGGGAAACTGGGACAGAAATGTGTGAACAGGAATATCCAAGATGATTAGCAATCCCATTCATTCTAATCATTCTCATTCTTTCTTCTGTGCAACTAGAGTAAGAATTTTGCATAGTAGGTTAAGATAATAAAATGTCTTATTACATGAAGTTCTTGGCAAGTAAACATTTAAGAACCTGACATAAGAACCTAATAAGGTAATTTGTACAGCACCAAATTAAAGAAGTATTTACCTATGGTGCTCAAAATTATTTATGAAGTATCTACTATGAGCTCTGCCTGTTTTAAAAAATATCATAGAAGTGTTGTTGTTGTTATGTGCCGTCGAGTCGGACCCGACTCATAGTGACCCCTTCTTGGGTTTCCAGGGCAGTATCACTACAGAAGTAGATTGCCCCATCTTCCTTCCAAGGAGTGGCTGGTGGGTTTGAACCGCCAGCCTTCTGGTTATAGCAGTCAAGTGCCTTAGCCACTATGCTACCAGAGCTCCCAAGTATGATGGGATAATTTCTGTCCTTAGAAGCTCATAATCTTGTGACATTAACTTTTTTTTTTTAAACAGTATCTGCTGAAAGTCAATGAAATTAAGATCAAAAAGGGAGTGGATTTACTTCAGAATCTGATAAAATATTTTCATGCCCAATGCAAGTAAGTTTTCTTTATTTCTTTCATCTTATTTTAAATGTTTTTCTTTTTATGGCTATATCTAATAGGCTTATAGTATTTTGTTAAGGAAAATAAGCACACTTAAAAATCTACAGTAGAAGGAATGAGGTTCTGATACGTGATATAACATGATGAACTTTGAATGCATTATGCTAAATGAAAGCATCCAGGCACAAAGAACCATATACTGTGTAATTTACTTTATATGAAAGTCTCAGAATAGGTAAATCCATAGGGACAGAAAGTGGTTGCCAGGGATTACAGAGAGGAAGGAATAGGGAGTGACTGCTAATGTGTACAAGGGTTTCTTTTTGGGGTGATGAAAATATTCTGGAATTCGATAGTGATATGATGTTGCAATTTTGTGGATATACTAAAAAGCACTTATTTGTACAGTTTTAAAGGATAATTCTTATAGCATTAGAATTATATCTGAATTAAAAAAAACATACACTATAAAAATATATAGTAATTATTGTCTTAGTTTCTTAGTGCTGCTGTAACAGAAGTGCTGCAAATGGGTGGTTTTCAAGAACAGAAATTTATTTTCTCACAGTTTGGAAAGCTCGAAGTCCAAATCCTGGCTCTAGGGGAAGGTTCTCTGTCAACTCTGGAGAAAGATACTTGTCTCAGCTCTGTAGCCTCAGCGTTCCTTGGCTTCTTGATGATCTCCCCATGACATCTGTCTTTACCTGTTTGTGCTAACTTGTTTCTGTGTCTTATCTGTACTTTTTCTACCCCAAAAGTTACTAGGTTTAAGGCACACCTAACACTAATAGTAGCCTCATTATTAGCAAAGAATATTCCCAAATAGGATTACATACGCAGGTACAGAGGTTACGATTCTAACACATAGTTTTGGTGGGGGGGGGGGCCACAATTCAGTCCATAATATTTATTAGATATATTTATTTATTTTTGCTCTTTTGTTTGTTTTTTTAAGAGGCACATACTCATGTGATCTAACACTTGACGCAGATTTTTTTGTTAAAAGGGAAATGAGATGATGTTAATTCAGTACATTAAATTAAGAAAATGCTTTCATATAGTACTTATCCTATAAAGCAAATGATAGTGAAAAGCAAAGGAGACTGTGTGTAGAAGAGAATGAGAAACTTTCCTATTCAAGGATTACCTCAAGGACTCAATTTTGCCATATATATTCTTGTTGAGTGCTGTCGAATCAATTCCAACTCATAGCGACCCCATGTGACAGCTGCTGGGTAGGTTTGAACTGTCAACCTTTCAGTTAGCAGCTGAGTGCTTGACCATTGCACCACTAGAGCACCATTATATATATTTGTTGTTGTGACTCAATGGAGTTGATGCTGACTCATAGCAACCCTGTAGGGACAGCAAAATCGCCTCATAGAGTTTTACAGACTGTAATCTTTGTGGGAATCAATCACCAAGTCTTTTCTCCCACAGAGCGACTGGTGGGTTCTAACTGCTAACCTTTTTGTTAGCAGCTGAGCACTTAACTATTATGCTACGAAAAAGAGTTGGTGCTTTTGAGTTGTGGTGTTGGTGAAGAATACTGAAAGTACCATGTTGTTGTTATGTGCTGTGGAGTCAGAGCTGACTCATAGCGACACCTCCTTGGGTTTCTGAGGCTGTATCACTACAGAAATAGATTGCCCGATCTTCCTTCTGAGGACTGGTGGGTTTGAACTGCCAACCTTCTGGTTAGCAGTCAAATGCCTTAGACACTACACCACCATCAATCCTTTACAATCTGGACCTCATCTCTCAGCCTTGTTTTCTCTCCTAGCCCTCATCCTACATTTAAGCCCTGACACCCATTCACTAATGTAAACAGGCCCTGGGTTCTTTTCCTTATTCATCCAGCAAACTATGTGCTATATGTCAGGCACTGGACTAGATGCTAGAATTTTAAAGGTTTGAGATTTTATTCTAAGTGTACTGGGAAACTCTTGAAAAGTTTTAATCAGGAAATTCATTTAGTATGTATTTACTGAGCTCATGCTATATGCCAGGCACTATTTGAGGGTCTGGTAATAGGGTGAGGGGGGAAACAAAGTTCTTACTTTCATAGTCCTTTAGTTTTTTGTGGGGAGGCAAATGAATAAATATAATAAAATAGTTTTAGGTAGTGAACATGGCTGTGAAAAATCAAACCTTTGATGAGATAAAGAGAGTCGTGGTAATTGGAAACATCAGGGAAAGCTTCTCTGAATCCATTTCTATTTTAACAAAGTTACTCCGTGGAGAAGGAATTGGATGAGACAAGAGTGATGTGGGATGGTCACTTAGTGGACAGCTCCCACCCTAGTGAAGGCAGGTAGGATTATGTCTTCGCATAGATTGTGACAGTGGATGTGAATGAAGGGTAGTGGACTGAGTTGAGAAATGTTTTGGAGATCAGAATGCTACATTGATCTACTTATCTTTCCCTGAACGTGTCTGTCCCCACAATGATGTACCTTTGCACACACTGTTCTTTTTCTGTAATGTCATTCTCTGGTAGCATAGTGCCTAAGGCATTTGACTGCTTGCTAACCAGAAGGCTGGTGGTTCAAACCCACCAGCCACTCCTCAGAAGGAAGATGGGGCGATCTACTTCCGTAGTGATACTGCCTCAGAAACCCAAGAAGGGGTCGCTATGAGTCGGGTCCGACTCGATGGCACATAACAACAACATGTCATTCTGTTCCTTCTGTGCTTTCCTCCCCAACTTTTGTCCAACACTAAGACCTAGTTCATATGTAATTTCTACCTTGAAATCATTCTTGTCTTTTTTTTTTTTTAAGTTTATTATAAAGTTGATTATAAATTTTACTGTTACAAAAGAGGTGTATCCCAGAATTTACAAATAAAAATAAAATACTTTATATAGCCAAAAGTTTCCAACAGAGTCATTTTTTTTTTTT